CAATGCGCGTTTTGAAGCAGCTTGCTTTTGACGAAGGTAATGCAGACCCGTCTGCAGTTTCAATTCTTCAAGATTCCATTTACGTGGATGACGCGTTGTTTGGGGCTGACGACGTCAGATCCCTCGCCAATGCTCGTTCTCAGCTCGTCGAGCTTATGAAAAAAAGGGGGATTTCAGCTTCGTAAGTGGGCGTCTAATTCAAGCGATCTTCTTCGAGATCTCTCGGCTGACCAACCCGAGGTGACCGACCATCTCATACTAAAAGACGAGTCTCTTAAAGTTCTCGGTCTTTCGTGACTTCCTCTCGAAGACGCCTTCAGATTCATTGTTAATTTTGCTGCTCCGGACACGCCCTCAAAACGTTCAATCCTGTCGTTTGTTGCTAGACTGTACGACCCACTTGGTTGGGCCGCGCCTGTCGTCATTGTTGCAAAAATATTGCTGCAGGAACTGTGGCTTCTCCGTTGCGATTGGGATGCACCTCTTCCCGACACGTTACTCCAGCGCTGGAGCGACTACGTCGCGGAACTAGAAAGCTTGAATGAGATCCGGATACCGCGATGGACTGGTCAACATCCATCTGATCTGGCCTACGAAATACACGGGTTTGCGGACGCTTCTAGTCGCGCTTACGCCGCTGTTGTATATCTTCGAGTTTTTCACTCAATGTCAAGCTTTCAAATCAGCTTTACTCGTTGCAAAAACCAAAGTTACTCCCGTCAAGACGGTTAGCATTCCGCGACTAGAACTCAACGCCGTCGTACTTCTAAGTCGACTCATCAAGTGGACTCTTGGTTCCCTGCGAATACCGTCAACGCCTGTCTACGGCTGGACAGATTCCTCAATCACTTTGGTGTGGGTGCGCCAACATGCCTCAAACTGGACCACCTACGTGGCCAATCGAGTGTCTGAGATTCAAAGTAACTTGCCTGCGGGGCGCTGGAATCACGTACCGTCGAAAGACAATCCAGATTGCGCTTCGCATGGGTTATCGGCCTCCGAGTTACTTTCTCATCCGTTGTGGTGGACGGGGCCCTCGTGGCTTCGTCAACCTTTAACATCATGGCCGATCCATGATGTTTCCAGTTCAGTTGGACCTGACGTTGCGCAAATTGTACTAGCAGAGACCCACAAGTTAGTCGCCCTTCACGTGGAAGGCAATGACGAGTGGGATTTACCATAGATGTTCCAGTTGGAACAAATTAATTCGTGTTACTGCGTACGTACACAGATTCGTCGTGCGTTCGAGACAAAAGGAAGAAGCTCGGTCCTTCCTCTTTGTAATGTTAAACTCCGACGAGTTTCTTAAAGCCGAACTATTCTGGCTTCAATACGTTCAGCAAAGATCATTCGCTTCTGAACTGAAGTCACTGAAAAAGGGTTCTTCAGTATCTCAATCAAGCCCGTTGAAAGCACTAAGCCCATTCATTGGGGAAGATTTTTTACTCCGTTTTGGCGGGCGGTTAAAGAATTCAGCGCTTGGTTACGATGAACAGCATCCAATCATTCTGCCGCGAGGTCCAGTCTCCGCATTGCTCATTGACAGAATTCATAAGGATACGCTTCATGGGGGCGTACAACTGGTGCTTCGCATGCTGCGCCAATGTTATTGGCTACTGGGTGGCCGTAGCGCCGTAAAGAGCCACATACGCCAATGCGTACTCTGTGCTCGTCACTCGGCACGACTCTCATCTCAGCTCATGGAGAACCTTTCCTCCTCTCAGGTCAATCCATCTCCTCCTTTCTCGCATACCGGAGTGGACTATGCAGGTCCCTTTCTCGTTACTCCCTTCGTCGGTCGAGGACACAAGGCGCGCAAGTCATACATCGCGTTGTTCATCTGTCTAGTTACCAAAGCCATTCACCTTGAGCTTGTTGAGGATTATTCCATGGCTGGTTTTCTTGTCGCCTTTAAAAGGTTCTGCAGCAGAAGGAGATTGCCGAAGAGGCTGTATAGCGACAATGGAACAAACTTTCGTGGAGCTGATCATGAGTTAAAGCGCCATTTCGACGCTCTTGTCAAGGAGCCTGCACTCCGAGATGTCCTCATCAAGGACGGAGTTGACTGGCATTTCATATCAGCCGCCGCGTCTCATCTGCGGTCTTTGGGAAGCTGGCGTTAAAAGCTTCAAAACGCATCTACGTAGAATCGCGGGAGCACGTACTCTCTCCCAGACTGAATTCGCGACGCTTCTCTGTCTGATCGAAGCGTGCTTAAACTCGCGTCCAATCGCGGCTCTAAGCGATGACTCGAGCGACTTGTCCGCGCTTACGCCGGGCCATTTTTTGATAAGCCGACCGCTCGTTGCGATTCCGGAGGAATCAGTACTTGCGCTAGATTCGAGTAGATTATCAAGATGGCAACTCGTACGTGCCATGCAAGAGCAAATCTGGCGTGCGTGGTCGCAAGATTATTTGCACTCTCTTCAACAGAAAGGCAAGTGGACGAAATCTACGCCTAATGTTCAGATCGGTGAATTTGTGCTCATCAAGAGCCCATTGCTCCTTCCGAGCAAATGGGAGTTCACTAGAATCCAACAGACTCATCCTAGAGCTGACGGATTCGTGCGAGTTGTTACGATTCGGACAGCGCGTTCGACCTTTAAGCGACTGATCACTCAACTCTGTCGGCTGCCTGTAAAGCACGAGGAGTGATTCGGCTGTTTCGTAGTTATAAGTCATTGTTAGTTCTAAGTATCACTCTAAGTTAATTCTAAATATCGCCGTATCGATCAAGTATTGGCACGTTTTCTGCTCTCATTAAGTTGAGAAAATTTTGCATCCGTTCTGCATGCGAGGCGGGCGGTATGTTTAGGATTACTAATAAGAAAGCGAGAATTCGTTCGTTCGAAGCTTCGAGAATCGTTGGCCTTTATTTCGCCGCTGTTTGTTTATTCCGAGCGAAGCGGCCTTCAAGCGGTTAGTTCGCGTCCGTATAAGAAATCGCCGAAAAACAAGTTGTCGTATTTTTCTAACGCCTAATGCGATTGGCAGCTTGTTACCAAGCTCGCGGTATCGATCGCTGATAGGCAGCTTTTCGGCGGCTAGCGTCGACTACGTGCCGGTAGCTGCATGCACAGCCAGAGTCCGAGATGAGAGAGCGGCGAGCACGGACGTGCAATGCGAGTGTAACGCGAAAAAGAACTTGTAACGCGAGCGCGAATGAATTCGATGTAAAGACTGATCGCCGAGAGTGAATTTCAATAAAGAGTTGTGAAACCCACAAGGCGAATTAATCATTTCCTAGCGCGAACCGCGTAGCCGCGAATAAGCAATAATGAACCAGAACAAATAAATATTTTCTTTCTGCTACGGGAGAACGAAGGCTCTCGTACAATTGCGCATATTCTTTCCATGCAAAACGAGGTTCAACATGGGTTTACACCTTTGTTTGTGAACCTTGGTTAACCTTGTTAGGTTTACTTTGTTAGGTATAACCTAACCTAACAAGTGAGTAGGATTGTTATTTGTTTTACGCGGAGGAGAGGCTTCGCCCCGTAGGGGCGAAGTCCTCCGCCGCCTACGCGTGAAATTTCAAACAAAACGAGGTTCAACATGGGTTTACGAGTTTCTACACAAAGCGCAATAATGTCATGTGCGCAATGTGTATGTGTGCAATAATGTCTTGTGTGTAAACATACGTTTGTATTTTTTATTTTTAAATGTGCACAATAATATTATGTGTGCAATGTGTATGTGCGCAATAATGTCATGTGTACAATGTGTATGTGCGCAATAATGTCATGTATGCAATGTGAATGTGTGCAATAATGTTTTGTGTGCAAACGTACGTTTGTATTTTTAATTTTTAAATGTGCGCAATAATGCTTGTAGGCAATTGGGAATGTCGGCAATTGAAGCTGTCGGCAAAATGTTGTGGGCAAACGAAGCTGTTGGCAAATGGGAATGTAGGCAGTTGAACCCTTCTCAAAATAAGAAGTAAAAAATAAATTTATTTTTTTTAATTATTTATTTTTAATTATTACATACGTATGCACCATTAATAATTTTATACAATGTTAATAATATTATAATTATTGTTATAACTGGCACATGATACTGTTGTGCCCTTGGTGATAGGGCACGGTTCGGGATCTGCCAAGGAGGCCGGGAATCCGGAAATAATCCTTCTTTTCGTTTTTCTTAATAAAAACAATCTCCCATATATTTATTGGTTTCTTGTTTTATTACAAATTCTCTTACTTCTCGGTAATCTAGGTTCCGTCAGGAATCCTTGCCTTAGTGTAGTATCACGGAGCCCCAAGTTACTCTTATTCGCTTTTAGCGAATTGTTATAATTCGCGTTCTTCTAGATTTGTGGTCCCAACGGACATACGTCCGTTTCTTGTGACTGATAGTTTTCGACCCGCCGTCGTGATTGCACTTGATTGCAGTTTTAACGATCTAACTTGCTGACGAAATTCGATCGTTCGTCAGCATTTTCGCGTAAAAGTGAATTAGGTTTTAGTTTTTGCTGCGCGATTCATCCGGTGTCTCGCACGAGCCGGAAACTGAATATTAGATATCTTAATCTGATATGTAATAGATATCTTCTTATATTTTATTAATATATATATATTTTATTATTAATAATTGGTTGTGGTTCTTTGGACCTACAACACCCTCCCCCCCCACCGTTGAGAAAAGAAAACGAGAAGATACGAGTTTTCGTAACCTTAAGGCTCCATTTATTTATTCTAAAATGGACTTCGCTCTTTCCATAGTTTTATTCCTAATATAATCGCAAGTATTATGGCAATTACAACAGCTATGCTACTTGTTGTCATAGGATAGACAAATGCTTGTTCTGCGAATGGATTTTTTAGATTGTCGTTAACATCTTTATTTATTTCCTCAAGTTTATTACTGAGGTCCATTAATTCTTTCGGATCTTGTATAATTTTTTGAATTTTAGTCCTTGCAATGAACTTTTCTTATTTTGTGTATTCTGATCTTTGCTAAATGTTAAATTAAAATTTGGTAAATAAGTTTGTATATTCGCGATTTGCTCAACGTTTTTGTTTTTATTGTCATATCTGTTGCAATTACCTTACAGTTTTCTTTTAACGTTATTTTTCCTGTTCGCTTAATTACTACAACAGTTTCTTTATTATTTTTACAATGTATATATATTTGTTGTTCCTTAAGTGTAGAGTACAACCATGTATTTGGTGTTCTTAATGCTATCCATAAAGTTTGATTACTCTTAATATAACGCTTATCGCAATTATCCGTATTTTTTGTTATGTGTGAGTACGTTTGTATTTCGCAAAGAGAATTTGTGTTTACAATATAAATAGGACTATAAGGTTCGCATAAATATGTATTATGTACATTGATACATTTATTTAAGTTTTCTTTTGTTATAGTCATGTATGTCGGTCCGTCTGTACTTATCGCGATTATATGTTGATTTACTTCAGTGAAAACGAAAATATTGTCATGGTCATGTATAGGTAAAGAATTATTTTATTATTT